ATGAACTTTCCTACCTCATGTAAAGCGACTTTCACATTGCCATGGTCTTGGGAATTATGCGAAGTTGAGTTTTGGAATACAAATCGACGGCTTCTCTTTTCGTCTTGCCTAATAGGTGCTTATAAATTCGCATATAGTCCACTGAATTAAGTTCTGCGCTTAAAAAAATGCTTAAGTACAGAACGCTGGCTGGAAGTGTGACAATATCGAATCTACTGATTTATAATTGTTTTCCTATTACGTGTTCAGTTCCTTAAGCGATCACAGTGTTTAATACCTAGTGCTGTATCAGGTACGAATGAGGGCGCTGCTAATAATAATCATCATGATAATATTAATGGAAGTTATTCTCTAACTCTGTCATGATAATAAAAATGTTATGGTTTAGCTTGTGGGAGCGACTGACGAAGATGACGAGATGTCATCCAAAGCTCCCAGAAACTAATCAATAATTCCTCCTTCCCCGCCCAATGTAAGACCATTGAAATCAATGTGACAAATGAACAATACAATTAAAAAATAAGTAAATAAAGTAATAATAAAATAAAGAACATAAAATAGACCTATTGGTGTTAATATTAATATTTTTATTAATATTAATAATTAAAGCGCCACTGTTAACTGAAAGAAATATTAACCCAAAATGTAAGTCAATTAATACAAATTATGCGAAGAATGAACAATATCTGTAAAATGAATATATAAATAAAATATTTATAATAATATTAATATATTTTATTCATCTATTTATTTTATAGATATTAATAATATTAACTTGTAATCGATTTTTTTGATACACTATTCGTGTATCATTCATTCATTCATTTTTTTCATTCATTCATCCTTTTAAGACAACCAACCCAATGAGATAAAGTAAAAGTAAAATTGATAAAAGGGTCGGGGGGGGGGGAGAATTTCTGATGCACAAAGCAATATAAAATAATTTCTTAGCTCTAGATTATAATTGTTTAAAAAAGCACAGGCTTAAAATATAGTTAGATTGTCCAGAAGTAAGGTGGACGTAAAGAGACTCTTTATTTCAAGTTTACGTGGGTAATTAAACAGATAGTAGGTAGTTTTCGCCGCAGTATATGTTAACCTTAACTTTAACGTTAGTACCCAACGTGCAGCGCGATAGCTCCGCCCCTTTTGTAAACAAATCGAAATACGCATGCGCAAACCCGTAACTAACGTACGTCGAGCACGTAAAATCCTGAAATTAACGTACTCCGCAACGCAAGATGAATACATTATGACGTCATCCGTTAACGTTAAAGCCCCATTCCCGGTAAAATTTCACTAAAAACTGACTTTTTTTTAAAGAAAATATGCATTTGCATTAGGCCTACACCAATTATTATAAATCATGGAAAATCATTGGCATGAATTTTAGTTAGTATTTTAGTACGCAAAAGAATAAAAAAAGAGAGAAATACAGACTATTTCTCATAAAATATTACCATTTTCTCGACGAATTCATCGTTACTAGGCAAATTCAGAGGTTGTAGATCGCATCCACTGGAATACTCTCGCTTTTATGTATAGTTTATACAGTCAATAATGTGCGCCCTCTCTAATGAGATTAGTTTTTGTACTTCGCATCTCGCAGAATGCGGTCGTTCGATTTAGGCTGAGATATGTTTGTTTAAGTGTCAAAATCTCAGTCATAATCAGTTTTTTAACAAATTTGAAATAATTCCTATGAAATATTATATTTCACAAGTGTCATTACTAGCAACGGAAATATGTCGGCCGTTTTTATGTGTGATAACAGAACCTAAATCGAGGTAAGGCTAGGCCTAGCCTAGCATACACATCTAGATGTGTATAAGAGACAGCTTACAGCTTTCTAATGAAAATCAGTTTAAG